GCCCCCCCCCCCCCCCCACTTTCTTCCCCACCCTGTCCTTTCTGTACAGCCTCCCCCTTTCTTCCCCACCCTGTCCTTTCTGTACTTGATTCAATCGATTCAATCTTTGCAGGTTAGTTTAACCTGGCTATGCTAAATCCATTTTGTAACCAGACAGACATCCCAGAAATTCAGGCACATGCCTGCAGTGGCTCAGGCTATAAGCTAGGGGTGCTAGAGTAGCTCTCCTTTCACCTCCACAGGGCTGAGCTGAGGTGGCATGGCCAGGCCCCGGCAGGACGCTCTGATTATTCTCCCCAGCCCCCGCAGCAGCCCAGCAGGGAATGTTTATCACCCCTAACTCAGGGTTTATCAACCCATTAAGAAAACAAAGCCTCTCTCCATTATTAATGGAGTTCTTCTTAAACAGCTATTCCAAGGAAGGACATTAAACTACCTGTTGGTTATTTCCAAAAAGCCTGTCTGCCTGTCATCTACCACAGCACGGACCATAGCCAGCACATGGTCTGCTAGCTAATGCTGAGGTGTCTGCGTAAGGCAGAGAGGAGGGAACAATAATCCCTGCTTAGTAGGGAGAAACCAGGCGGGCGCTCTGTGCCTGCAAGTCTGCCGAAGCTCTGGCCAGGGAGCAGAGGGGAGGTGCCAGCCCTGCTGTGGAGCAGAGAGCCCCGCCCAGAGAGCATGCCAGGATGCTGAGGGAGTCTGATTTAATTTAAACCAGCAAGGGGTCTAGGACAGACATTGCATATACCGATTTGAGCCAAATCAGTTAAGTCTGATACTACATGCAACCAGGTTTATCTGAAACCAGTTTTAGCCATTTTCAAATTGGTTTATTTACACTGAACATCTGTTCTGTTACAGGTTTAAACCAGTTTCTGATCACTTAAACTGGTTTATGTGTAATGTCTGGCCCTAGCCTAGAGGCCAGAGGTTGGGGCCATCACCTGGGTTGTGGCATATCTGTGTTTAAGTCCCTGTTCTGCTAGTCACCTTTGTATATGGCTCATGAGTCATGACCAAATCATGCTCTTGGTTATCTGGAGGTGGTGTCTTGGTCCTTCTGTGTGTGTGTGTGTCCATGCGCGCGAGAGAGACTTTGCAAGGTCTCAGCTCCTGATATAGATTGGAAACATTTATGAAATCTCAAAAAGGATCCAGGGACAAGAAAAAAAATCCTCCTCAGCTCTGTTGCGTGTGTCTAATAGGAGTAGACATTTCTACTTCAAGTAGAAGTCCCTGGGTCTGAAGAAGTTTGAAGGTTAGTCACAGAGATTGGCTAATTTAAACCCAAGAATGGAGTTGGAAGGTGCAGGCTTCTCCTGGAACAGTCACCAAGGGATTTTCCTGACAGCTATAGCAGCAGAGGCTCTGCAGTGTGAACAAGCCCCAAGTACATTTCTCACAGGGGAAATCTTCATTGGCCTGTTCTCCTAAAACATTCTACCCTTACTTCCATTGAGGTTGAAAATGCTGCTGGCTGCCTACAACCTATTTGCATTAGTATTATCAGTTTTGGGGCCGCAGTGGTGCAAGGTGTTAGATATATGTCTACTGCAGATCATGCTAGTGGTTTGAAGAAGATAACTGACTCTTTTCCAAGACAGACTCTTCCTATTGTACCTCCTGAACATATTGTGCAAGTTTTCTGCTTAAGGTAGCACTTCAATGCTCTCTTAGGGTATGTACAGACATTCAGGGAGGTTATGGGGAGGTTAAATTGAGTTTAAAATGGCCACCTGATCTAAGGTAAGTCAGGTTAGGAAGGATAAGTGTCTGGTGGATGGGGATCAGGGAGGCAAGTGGGGTCCTTGGGGGGTTGGGGGCCTAGTGGGGTTCACAGAGGGGGTTGGGAGGGTTTGGTGGGACGGGGGGCAGGTGGGGTCCATGGAGAGATTGGTGGGGTCGAGGAGGATTTGGTGGGATCAGGGGAGTTACCAGGGTCAGGGGAGAGGGGGAGAATGGGGGATCTCTCTTCCTTCCCTGGGATCAGGGGCTATTTTATAGTTTATATAGACAAGAGAGACAAAGGAACTGAAGAGGAACTGAGAAGCACAGAAATATTATGGGTCTGAGGCAAAGCTTGCCCTTAGTTTCTTGAGTTTTAGGTCTATAACCCTTTCATGATACATATCTACTAACCAGTGCTGTCCTGCTTAAGATGGTAAGATGGTGTTTATGTTCTCTAGATTTTGTGCCAACAATTTAGTTCTTCCGAAAAATTAATTTTTCAGAGTTAAATTGGACAAAGGAAGATTATCGAGCTGATAGGAAGGATATGCTTATTGGTGCTAACCTACTTTTATTTGACACAAAGAAAATCTGGTTCTCTGGGGTTTTAGTGATCAAAAATGAACTCATTTAATCAGGAAGGTGGCGGGGGGCAGAGAAAATGTATAATTGTACAACTTGTACAAGGTGTAGTTGTATTGTTGAGCAGTGTGCAACCTCTGTAGGCCCTTTATCTGTCTCTCTAGCTAACTAGCCTAACTGAGAGACAATCTCTAATTCCCAATTTCTGTAATCTTCTAAGTGAGTGAGTGTTTCTAAATTATAAATTCAATCACTACATTGGTCACCTGGCAAAAACAGAGCTGGGGGACCTTTCACTTTCAATACCCTGAAAGGAGTCTGAGTTATCATAGTGTGGGCTGAAGGCTATCATTTGTATTGTCAATACAGAACATGCTAATGTGAAATGTCACCAGAACTCACCGGAAGGAGGCGATGCAGACACTGGTGGGCCAGATGAGGATGATGGAAGTCTTCAAGTTGACACTGAATTCACGGGCTGCCTCCTCTTCTTCCTCCTCCTCCTCCTCACTGTATACCACCCACAAGTCACAGAGGTTCAGCCTGTGCTTTAGTCTGAAGCTTGTGCCTGATCTGAAGCAAAGAACAGAAGGGAATCAGTTCTAGGCTTCATTATTTTGAAGAGCAGCTGGAATCTTCTGTGTTAGAGCCATTTCCCTGTGACTTGGCTCTACTATTAAAGCTTTGACAACTATAGCCCATATTCTCAGCTTGTTTAATACAGAACCATTTCATTAATATCAGTGGAGTTACACTGATTGACATCAACTGTGTATCTAGCCCAGTGGTCTCCAACCTTTTTAAGTAGGAGATCACCTTTGGCATTTAAAAGCAACTCAAGATCTACTGTGTGCTGCCACCCCCCCACCCCAGCAGGTAAGTCTGTGGGGAGGGAAAGGGGGTGGGGGGCAGATTGAGGCAGAGGGAGAAAAATATATTTGGGGGTGCATTTTCCCAGCAGGTAAATCCTACCAGCCAGGGCCCCACTCCACTTACCCCTGCTCCTGCCTCTGTGGTACTGTTCCTCACTGCGGGGGCCTTGATCTAGCTCCTGCCCTTTCCCTCCCCCATGGACTGATCTGCTGGGCTTGGGCACATGCGTGCATGCAACCGGGCACTCAGCCCCCCACCCCAGCCTCAGATTGACTCCAAGAGGCTCTGAGATCTACTGCAAGAGGCTCCGAAATCTACTGGTGGATTGAGATCCACTGGTTGGTGACCACTGATCTAGCCAATGTGAGTCTTCTCTGTCCCCCTTGCCCAATGCTACCACCTAGACACTTTCCCTGGTGTCTAGCATGTAGATATCAGGACAGGCTGAGCCCTTAAGCATATTTCTAGTTTTATAAGCATGATACAACTTCCTTTTAAATTGTTATTATGTATTTCTGTATTGCAATGATGCTTAAGGAGCCCACTCATGGACCAGGGCCCCATTATCCAAGGTGTTGCACAAATACAGAATAAAAGGATGATCTTTAGCTCATGCAATCTAAGTAGGCAATGAGGGATAGTGGATGGACATGACAAGTCAGCAGGAGAGGTAGTGGTCTCCAGCTACCCAATCCATTTTTTTTGTAGCTGTCACATGATTTTGATGGAAGACAATATTGCAGACCCTGAGATGAGAATATCCATGGTGATATAGTCCAGATATGTGACAGTTTTACCCTTATTCAGTTCTTAGTGAATAATGCTGTCATTTTGTTTCCCCCCTCTATTTAATAATACCTTGCTTTGATATGACTCTTTTCATCAGTAACCATCATAGTGTTTTTGTCTGCTCAGATACGTTCCATTTACCATGCTCCCCCTTGACAGAGTGTTTATATATTAGCTTCATTCCTCTTTTGAAACATGCTTAATAACATTAAAAGAGATATTTCCCTTATCTCATCTTCAGGGGAGTCTTAAAATATAAGAGCTGCTTGGAAATTCCAAAGCAAACAAGCACAAGTTTGTTGCAGTTCACACTGTAAATCTCTTTGGCTAACTACAAGATACCTGTCATCTAGAGTCTTTACTT